AACGTGAACTAGCTGCTATTGTCTCCATTGTGCTGCTCCAAAATGCTGACAGGGGAGCGCTGAACTCAAGACCCTTGGTGACTAATGTCTGCAACTGAGCCAGTCCAGACTACAGAGGCTTGCATGCCCAAAGGCACTCTTTTCATAAAAGCATTGGTGAATATCAGAGACAAAAGACTGTGAATTTGAAATTTACTGCTGGAAAGAAGGTCCCAAGTGTTTTAATCACCGACAAATACACTTCTATCTTTCTGGTTTCACAACTAAAATGGGTCAAAGAGGTCAACAGCAAACATTCATACTCAAATAAAGGAGGAATCTTTAAGGACCACAGTTAATCAGCTGATTTTAAAATGTAAAGGCCTTGGGCAAAAACATACTCTGGTACGACACTTTATAGGTAAAAAAAAGAATAGTAAAATGCACCACAATGCTGATCTAATGTGCACGCATCATTCATGTGAACTTGTACAGCTATAACTCAAGAGATTAGTTTCTGCCCCTGAGATTTGGGAGTTTTTTCCAATTCCCTGATGTGGTTCCTGTTACTAAAAAAGGTTTCAGTTACATTTCTAGTACACAAGATGTTCTTTACAGGACCTCAATGAGTACAAGTGGATCAATAATATTAATAAGTGTTGGTAAATAGTACCTGAGTTATAGTTACTTTATTTTAAACCCTAAAATTACCCAAACAGAACTCAACTTCCATCGTGTTCTATGTAAAACCAGTTCAGTTATGTTACTTCTGGCCTGTTGCTGGAGTCTCCTACTTTCCCAAGTCAAGTAACATTGCCATGTTTTAATGTTCTTAACAATCTAAAGTCAATTTGAGTACGGACCTGTGCTAAATCAAATGGCTACTGAGTTATACATAACGGTGGAAATGGCTCGGTATAAGTGACGAGCACCATCCCACCTTTAAAGTAGTGCTACATGTCTTTGGACTAAGCTAGCTTAGTATATGTCATGATTCATTTAGCTTTACTATATCGTTTTAGCGAGCAATAGTAGGTAAAGCCCTGCAAACCACTTGAAAAGCGCGACACACACACTAAACTAATGTGTTTGCGTTTAGTACTATTGCTTCACCTGTAGCTGACAGTTAGAAGCATCCCAGTAAGGTTTACTTTTGACTCGCTTGTTAACTTTTACCCTTTTATTTTTTCCCCTTAAAATTACAATACTTACGGCAGTTTAGAAAGTTTTGGAGACTGTTCTTCTTAAAGCTTTTCTGATGGGGTAAAGCCAAACAAACTCTTTCTCCTGTTCAACAGGGAAAATTAAGGCGGGTTAGCCACTCAAACACGCAACCGTCGTTAATTACCGTCAAGCAAAAGATGGCTACCGGAAGTGACATATTACCTTGCTTGTTACTGGAACCAATGGAATAAATAAATATAGTTTTAAAAAAATAAAAATAAAAATAATGAACAAATAAATAAGTGGAATAAAATATAATAAAATTGGAGTAACGTTGGTAATGCACGTAACAGGCGATAACAAGCAAAGTCGCTAAGGCTACCAGACTCTTCCATTCAACAGGTGTGCTTGTTTCCACCTGTTAGGTGCATTATGCAATTTGGAATTTGTATTTTTTATTATTATAGCTAATCGAGACGCAATTGCGTGGGTGAAGTCATACATACATACTGAACCGTAAACATTTATAAAATATTAGCAGGTAGAAATATTTTCATATATTTGTACCCCCAAATGGTTGTCACTTCCGGTTAGAAGTCTGGCTAATGTACAAGAAGCGAATTTTTTTTTTGTTTTTTGTTTTTTTGCCATATATGTAGTTAATCCATTTTACATGTTGTTATTACTGTCTTCAAAACAGCAGTAAGTGTCAAATGACCTACTCTATGGGGATTATGGGTTCCATATTTAAAAAATGCTGTGTAATCGATATTTAACCTCTCAAACGCTGAAAAGAAGATTATGCTAAACAGCCTCGGATGTCTGACAATCTTCTAAAAGAGAGAAGATGACTGGTCTTGGTGTCCGCTTACGGACGTCAGCAATGTACACTCATGAGATAAATAAACCATATTCAGATATTCCATATGTGAGTAACACGTTTTGCTGTTTATTTTCATTTTTCACACCCATCATTTCTCAGAATTCGTATTCAGATACCACGTGTGAAACACCTGGAGGTCCTGTTTCACTCGGTCGTCTAATCCATATCTGTCCATCAGCTGCTGCTGCAGCCTCCCCACACACCCAAACTATTGGTTAATATTTAATCAAACCCGTCCAGGAAAGTAATTTCCTCCAGCAAATCACAATATTTTGTCACGCAGTCTGATGGTGTTGCGTAACAAGAAAGTCTCTCCCCTGTTCGCTCACATTTATTTTGTTTTTTTATTATTGAACAACACCGAGTCTAGTTTGGCCAGAGCATGCAAACCACACCTGATCGTCGAGTCTCTTCTTTAGTCATATACAGAAAAGCCTGTTATTTTTCAAAGCATTAATATAGCATTCTAACAGTGCCTTTGTCGCTACAGGCTTAACTTATCTTTTAGATGAACATTTGAGCCTAAAGGCAATGGCTTTGTGTGTGTGT